ACCGTGCCCCCAGGCACGAGTTGGAGTGTCCTCAGGCCCCTTCGAGTTCTCCCTGTCGAGTTCTGTGTATCTTCTTTTTTAAGGGGCCCGCAGCCCAAAGCTCCGGGCGCTGTCAGGCGCTCCAGAGCGCTCTCGGGGGGTCCCCGCGCAACTCTCCGAGAGGCCAAGAGCGCTTTGCTCGGGACATGGTTTCAGATGGCCCCAGAAAGCGTCTTGGCGCCCTGTTGGGCCGTCCTGGAGGCCCTGGATGGCGGCCCCAAGAAGCCAAAATCGAGAAACTCAACTGGTTATTGTATGGTTTTCGCGCTGCAACCTTCTCGGTCTTCAGAGCGTCCCGGACGGTCCAAGAGGCGCCCAAGATGCCCCCAAACGGCCCAAGAGCCCCCAAGAGGGGTCCAAGAGGCCCCAAGACGGCCCCAAGAGGGGCCCGAGATGGGGAGCACGAACGAACATTTTGAACCCTCCGTCCCAAGATGGCCCCAATATCCCCCGACAAGCCCCCGAGGTGCGCCCCAGAGGGGGGCCCCAAAAGGACCCCACGAGGCCCACATCAGGCCCCAAGATGCGCCCAGGACGGCCCCAAGATGCACCTGAGACGACCCAAGATGCACCCGAGATGCCCTCAATTTAACCCAAGACGGCCCAAGAGGCCTCAAAGAGGCCTCCAAGACGACCCAAGAGGCCTCCAAGAGGTCCCCCAGGAAAGCCCGAAGAGGTCAAAGACATGTATGTGCCCAAGGTGTTTGACCGATTTGGGCGTTTGCGTTTTTTCTGCCTTCCGAAAGCCCAAGACGGCCCAAGAATCCTCCAAGATCGCCCCCAGAACGCCCAACAGGCCTCTAAGATGGCCCCAGGACAGCCCAAGAGGCCGCTGAGACGGCAAAGAGGGGGGCTCAAGACGGCGCAAGAGGTCTCCATGACGCACAAGATGGCCGCCAAGACGGCCGTGCAGCGCCCCAAGAGGGCCCCAAGACGGTCCAGAGAGGCCCCCTGGGCAACTTCCGACGGCGTCAGACGGCCTGGGAACGCCCTAAGACGGCCACAGCGGCCCCGAGCAACCCCGAAAAACCCCCAAGACGCCGAAGGAGACCCTCCAGCGGGCACCCAGGAAGCTCCCGGAAGGCCCCAAGAGTTCCCCAACAGGCTCCCAAGAGGTCTCCTCATACTCCATGTCCTCCTCCTCCTCCTCCACCTCCTCCTCCTCCTCATCCTTCTCCTCCTTCGTCTAATCCTTATCCTTTCCCTCACGTGTTCCCCGAAGGATTTCAACGACGGCTGGGGGAACCTATGGTCCGATATCGTGGCTAAACTCTAGTCTAACGTTCGGCCACATAGGCGCTTCCAGAAGGGCAAGGTGTGGCGGTGATTCGCCGTAGGCGTCTTCGATCCACCGCCCCCTGTTAATTGTTCAATTGTCCCCTCTTGATTGTTCAATTCTTCGATCCTCCGCGAGCTGATGGTTCGATTAGTTATGCTTCTTTTTAGGATTCTCCCTGAGGCTTCGGCCAAACCCGCTGGCCACCCGGAAGGCTGCGCAAGCCGCCGAAAAACCCAACCCCGTGGGCGAATCGGCTCCCAGACGGCCAGAATGGTTGCCAAGATGCCTCCAAGACGCCTCCAAGACTGCCAAGATGGCCCCAAGGGAGTCCAACATGTCCCCAAAATGCGCCCGAGAGACTGCCCAAGATGCACACAAGACGGCCCAATACGGCTCAAGAGGGCCCGTCAGGCCTTTAAGAGGCCTTCAAGGCGGCCTACGAGGCTTCAAAAAGGTCCTTCAAGAATGCCCCAAGGAGTCTTTGTGAAGGATTTCGGCATGTCCTTCTTTGCGGTCATCCGACGGCCCCAGATGGCAATAGAGGCCCACAAGATCGCCCAGGAGGCATCCAAGATAGCTCCATGACGGACTAAGAAGCCTCCAAGACGCAAAGATGGCCTCAAAGACGGCCCTGAAGAGCCCCAAGATGGCCCCAAGACGGCTCAGAAAGGCCCCGAGACGGCTTCAGACGGCGTCAGAGTGGTCGGCAAAGCCCAAGAAGAGCAAACATTACACAACGCCCGCCTCAAAGAGGCCAAAGGAGACCTCGGAGAGATCTCCAAGAGGCATCCAGGAGGCGCCTAGGAAGCCCCAGGAGTGCCCCAAAAGTTCCCAAGAGGCAGGTCTGCCAGGGACGGCATGGAGAGAGATGCGACTACTGGGACACTACCTACCTTCCGACCAAGGTCTGACGGGTGAAATAGAGCGCAAAAGGGAGGCCATGAAAGCTGATTCCCGTCAATGTGGCAATGTCTGGGGGTGCGACACACCAGACAAACCCAACAGATCAGTCGTCATTGCTTGTGTCGTCGGAGCCACCCTCAGCGGCCTCAGTGTATTTGTACTCCCCTCTCGCATGACCCGAGCACTCGACAACAGTATGGGGAAGCTTCTTCGAATGGCTTCCCAGGGTGCCATGAGTTGGACCAGAGAGGACGGTAGTGTGCGCTGTAACTTCAAGTCTCAAGTGTTTGCATTCTGGAGAATTGACAGAAGTGCTCTCGCACTGCGTGTCCGCCGCCTCAAATGGTACCATCAGTGGGCCCGCTTTCCCGCTGATCACGGGAACGTTTTGGCCACAGCACTGGGGACTTCTAGGCTTGACGCAGAAAGGGAGGCACCCCGACTATGGGACAACAAGTGGATCTACCACGGTTCTACCTCATGGGCCATACAAATGATGGAGGATCTGGATGCTCTAGCTCGAGCCTGCGACGAGATGGGGGATGGTATGTTCAACGCGTGTCCGACCTGAATATGCTTATCCCTGAGACCGACGACTGGAAACAATATTGTTAGGTGAACACAAACATAGCGCGAAGCTGCTCAAGACACTCTACCGACGACATATTACAACCAGAGAAAGCCGAGGAAGAGGCGGACATACTCGACAAACCAGAATGGCATCAATATGGTGCCACTGGACTCGTGCAGACACGGAAAGGATAGAACAGAGTTGTGGGAACATATTCGCGACTGCCGCGGCACTCATGTCACATAGGATGGCAAACCATCGTGTGAAACCTCTCATTGCAACGCTTGTGATAACGAACCAGTGCACCTGATGCTTCAGCACGCTTGCTACCAGGAGAATCGCAGCCGACCGCGTCACTAGAGCAGCGCACGGACCTAGCAGTTGTTACAACATTTGTTGGGTCCACGACCTGAAGGTTCCCACAAAGAGGCGCACCACTGCACGATCTGTGGCCACAAGGCTCACAACCTTCTCGACGTTCAACACCACGCCCGCACCCACCACCCCGGCCCCGCCGAGGTCCGCTACCCGCGGGATGAGAGCCGGCATGGAGGCGCTGACCCCGTCGTGGCCGATCTCCGGGCGAGGCGACGACGCTGCATTCCCGATGGGGACCCAGAAGATCCACGAGGGCGGGGGCAGAGAGAGTGGCAGCGCAGCGGACACGGCGACGGAGGCCCGGGCAGCGGCGCAGGGCCGGCGGGAGCAGCGAGGCGGGACAGGCAGCGCCTCGGGAGCACGCGGGTCGCAAGCGACGCGGCTGCGGCGGCCCCCGGGAGGGCAGGGAGACGGACCGCCGCGACGAGGACGGGGCCCACCGGGGCAACAGAGCCCAGTCGACCTCGCGACCGCGATTCACAGCCTCCAACAGCCGGCGCCCAGGACGGCGCAGGACATGCGGGAGATGAAGCATGTCAGCACGGACGTCTGGCTGATTCCCGTCTGGATATTAGCAATGCAGGCCGCGTTAGATAAGGGAAAGAGCTACGGGGTGCAGGTCCGCGCCATGGGGCGAGGGAACGATTTCGCCCCCCGCACATCCGCATGACCATCGCCTTCTTGCAGGCGCTTCTCGAGATGATCCGCGAGCTGACGGAGAAGGAGGGCCCAGAGCAGGACACAAGCTGGGCGCAAACGATCATCACCGAGTGGCTCAAGCTGATCCAGCCCGCGTATGGTCAGATCGTGGGCCTCGAGAAGCTCTCCCTCTTTCGTGTGCACATGCCGAAGTAGGAGGAGGGTCTGATGAGCGGAACACGAGACAGGGGGGAAGGCCAATCTCACCTTCGTAGTGAACCAGCATCCTCAATTTCGCTGGGTCCTCGCGGAGAAGGCGGAAGAGGCTCGAGAGGAGGTACTGACGACGCTGGACGGCTTCAGGCCCGACCACCTCAGGATGGCCATCGGGTTCCTTCTCGCGAAGTTCGGTGGAGACAAGCCGAAATCTGCGGGATCCAAGACCGAGCTCGAGAGAACGGTGGAGCGCCAGTTGCAGCAGAAACAGAGGACGAGATGGCCGAACGCCTGAGGAAATGACGACAGATTGCAGAAGCACTAGCGCAGAGAGCCCAGGCTCATCAGCCGAGGCCAGCGAATGTGCCAGCTCGCGTTTCAGGCCCAAAGGTTTCGGCCGCCCCCCCGTCACAGCTCCAGTCAGACACGGCCCTGCCAGCAGCGCCCTCTTGACTCTTGATCCGAAACGAAAAAAAGCAGAGCGCATCAGCCAGGACCCCGAGCAGCTGAGCAAGCTCCGCGTCCTCAGCAGAACCAGTAGCAGAAGCGAGCAAATGTACGACGTAGCCATGGATGGTTGAGAGAAGCGACGATTACAGCTGGCGTACTAATGCACGGGCGGGGGAGACCGCGCTCGACGGTGATACGACACAGCATCTACGGCATCGGTACCACTTTACCTCTTACGCTTCATTACTTCCATACACATGACCTACACACCACGGGCCCTTGCGACGACAGGGAAGGGACGCTCTTTGATCAGTTACTGAGATGTGCCGAGGCGTGAAGTATGCAAGGCTATTCTACTCGACGGGGGCATGGGGACCCTGTGATTACAAGCGTGGGCCCCACGGCTCGGACACCGGCCCCCCACACGACCCTCCCTGTCCATCCCGCTGCTATGGGCTCAAACTAGCTTCGAAGCGGTATTCCCCACCATTCGAAGCCAGCGACGGCAGCGCGGGCAAGAGCGCCATGGAGATTGCAGTGCAGGGCAAGGGCGCCAGCAAGGAGATCGGAGGCGTACAGTACGTCTTGCAGTGCGCGGAGAAGAACATCACGAAGACGGGCGCGGTGCTCTCGTCGACGGCAGCGGACGTGGACATCGGCCTGCAGAAGATGCTCGACCAGAAGTACAAACTGATGATGAACATGAGTCGGTTCGCGGTCCTCGAGAGCGGCACTGACCAGGAGAAGTTCGCGAAGCAGGAGGACATGAGCTACCTGAAGGACCATATGGACAGCATCGGAGCGTCCATCGAGGGCCTCTTGAAGGTCAAGGGGCTGGTGACGGCGCGGCCAGCGGGGTGCCGCGTGACCCCCCCCCCCCGCAACAAGGACTACACGAAGGGCATGCAGAGCGTGGGCACAAGTGGGAGCTGGAGCGGGCAGCCGTCCCCACCGCTCCCGTGGAGGGATGCCAATGATGAGAAGACGTGGATACCGTACGCATGGACGCCGAAGCGGCCAGAGCTGTGGATCGACTATGACGTCGAGAATAAGACGAACCCAGCGGACCACGACGTCCAGCAAACGGAGGTGGCCCTCTCCCCCACGGAGAAGCAGGTCGAGGCGACGATCACGGCGCCCCAAGAAAATTACGGAGCACAAGGGGAACTTGACACAGAAGAAGACGAACCCGAACGGTTGGTGAACGGTCGGCGGTGCTGGAAACGACAAGGGGGTCCTTGAGAGCCCGACTAGGCGACACAGCCACTCTACCCGAGGATGAGGGCAGTTCCAGCCGAAACGACCGAGGAACTCGACTCGAGGAGGTAGACACTCGTGCCCTCGGCCTGATGGGGGATACCGACTACTCTGCCTTATTGTACCGCTACTGTCAGCTATGTTGCAGGGGATAGATCTGACGTGACAGATGGACGATAGTTACCACCGACCCCACCACGCCCTGGAGAGCCCACCCATAGGGCGGCGGACAGGGATTACTGACGGCAGGTTGAAAACGACGGGAAAGGTGAACATACAACGACCACCAGGAACGATGTGACACGGTCCTAGCAGCTGCTGCGGAGAGTTGGGGGAGGCCCCCTGAGCTGACTACCTACCTGACCACCCCAACCCAACCCGAAGACCCGAATTTCGGGTTGGGGGGGGTATGGGCTCCATATGTGTTTTTTCGATGTTCCCAGACCCCCCCCCCCACCCTAGGAATCGAGGGCAAATCTGAGCCTTCGGGTTGGGTTGGGGTGGTTTGGTGGGTGGTGATGAGCAGAGTACGATGCCGTACACGCCGAGGCCCTCGCTTTGGACCGGCCGCCGCCGTCCTCTGTGCGCGTCGGCCCGGCCTCGCTCCGTTGCCGGCCGCTCGGTGGCCGCTCCCCGCCTGCTCGGTCGCTGCCGAAAGGTTGGGTCGTCCCCTGGCTTCCGCCCTGGGTGTGCTCGCGTGTGCGCGGGCGTGTGCTCCTCCCCCCCCCCCCGCCGCCAGGAGGGTCTCGGACAGGGCAGGGCGCAGAGGCAGATACCTGAAGTGCAGGGCCCGTGCGCCGACCGCCCCGCCGCCTCCTCCGCCCCCCGTGCTCCTGCTCTGGTGTGCCTCTCTTTTGGGGCTGAACGTGCCCTCCCCCCCCCCCCCTCTGGGGGGAAGCTCGCCCCAGGGGGCCAGCATCCACCCTCCTCCGTTCAAGGAGTCTTCGGGATTTCTCTCGGGGATGGACAGACCTCCCTTCAGTAAAACGTGGCTTAGTGAAGACGACCTCCGGCCCAAGCCTGGCGGGCGCAAGCCTGGAACATAATGGCCGCGGCGCCCTCTCGAGAACCGAACTCGGACAAGTCACTACTCGACGTGTCAGGGCAGGAGGTCTGTCCACCCCCGATTCTCTCGGAGCCCTCCTGCGGCAGGATGCGCGCGGCCTCCGTGGGCCGCACCCCTGGCAGCCCTGGGGAAGCTGCCCCCACACCGCTTCCGTTGGCCTCGCAGGGGCATTTAGGTTGCTCAGCGCATGCCCCCGCTGCGGGCATGACCCGACGACGCCACCGATGCGCCTTCACCTTCACCTTCACCTTCACCTCCTGCTCCTCCTCCTCCTCCTCCTCCTCCTCCTGCTCCTCCTCCTCCTCCTCCTCCTCCCCCTCCTCCTCATCATCATCATCACCATCACCACCACCATCACCATCATCGTCATCGTCATCGTCATCGTCATCGTGATCGTCATCCTCATCCTCATCCTCCTCCTCATCATCTTCAGCATCGTCATCATCAGCATCAACATCATCAACATCATCAACATCATCAACATCATCAACATCATCAACATCATCAGCATCATCATCATCGTCGTCATCCCTGTCCTTTTCTCTCGCTCTCGTCCTCTTCCTCTTCCTCCCGAAAGTGTTCCCCAAAAGGTTTCCACAACGGCTGGGGGGACGCACAGTCCGGCCGCGTGGCCGAGCTCTGGCCAGAACGTTCGGCCACATAGGCGCTTCCAAAAGCAGGGGCGGCGCCGGTTCGCCGTAGGCGTCTTCGATATTATACCGGTTGTTATATTTGGTGTCTGCGTGTGTGTGTGTGTGTGTGTGTGCGTAGTGTGTATGCTTCCGGTTCCAGTCGTTCACACGATCGCGCATCTGCTTGATCGCTTGTTCAACCTATCACATGGTTGCGCGTTCGCTCACTTGCTCGATTGCCACTTCTTCTACAACAACTGGCGTGCAAAAGCCCGTCCACATGGCGGAGGCACATAGTGGAGTCTCCTCAGACCCTCAATCGCTACCAGCATAAGATATTGAAAACAGCGACCCCCGCCTGCCCGAGATAACAAGGCGTGTGAGACGTTTGTCAATTCCCCCTTTCCTGGATTCCATCTCCATCAGGGTCCAAAATCCCGTTTGAAGGAGGGGTGAAGAGCTCATCAACGAAACTCATGGGCTCCCGCAGCCTCAAACTGCAACCCGCGACGCCTCAAAGATGCCCTAGATGCCTTCCAAGATGCTCCCAAAGGTCTCCAACACGCCGAAGAGCCCTGAAACAGATTCAAGGTGGCATCAAGACGGCCCAAAAGGATCCCGAGATGCCCAACGACAAGCTCAAGAGAAACTCCCAGAGGGCCCCAAGAAGCAAACATCACTGATCTCCTATATGTTGTTGACATGTTGTGGTGCTCTCGCTTTGTCGGGCGTCCGAATGTGCAAGACAGCTCAAAGAAGCTCCTGGAACGGGCACACGAAGGCACAAGAGGCTTTCAAGAGAGCGCAACGACAGCCCAGGAGGACGCAAAGACGGCCCAAGAGGCCCCCGAGGCGACCGAAGAACCCCCCAGAGGGGCTTCAGAGGGCCTTCAGAGGGGGAGCTCGAAGGAGCTCCAGGAGCCAACCCCCCAACACTGCCTAGGGTCCGAACATTCCAAAAATATCTCCACGAGGACCCAAATATGACTCCAAGATGCCCCCAGAAGGCTCCCAGACGACACCCAGAACGAAAGAGCTGCGAAAGCCTTTCCCAAATCAACGCCTCCCTTTCTCTCTGGTCCCTCCACGAGCAAGCAACAATGCAAGCGTCAAGTCCCGTGAGAGACTCACCCGGAAACAAAACAGGACGCCGCGAAGAGGCCCCTGGAACGTGACACAGACGCAACTGCGCCCGTCAAGCCAAAGAAAAGAACGGGATCCATCCCCGGGCGCTGCTGGGCGGTCCTACGGACTGCTGGGATGCACCCAGCTCTCTCTCTTTCCAAAGGCCCTGGACACGTTGGGGGGGCCACCCGTCCCTCGGCCCTTCTCGGCGACGAGCGAGGAAGGGAAATGAGAAGGAGAAGGCCTTCTCAAAGGCGGCGGGACTTCTCAGAAGCCCTCGCGCATTCCGAAGTTGCTTTATGTATTCGGGGAAGGCTTAGAAAACTTCTCAGGAGGCCGGGGGACTTCCGAACCTTCTGATAAGAACATGTTCCTTCTCAATTCCCGCTGCTCGCTGCTGCTGCTGCGCCGGTTTGCATTCAGGCTCAAGGATCATACCCAACGCCTTCGATCAGAAGACACCGGCTTCAAAGACTCGGGCCCTGGCTTGGCCTACATTTGCCCGCAGCGCAGGACGGGAAGCGAGGCAGAACCTAGGAATCTAGCCAGGGCCAGCGACGAGTCGCTACAATCGGACGCAGGCCAGAAGAACATCCCTCAAGAGCATGAGACCCTCTGTCGGCCAACACACACAGAACACCAAAGGGTACTCTCCCCCAGGATGCACAAGAACATCCAGCAAACACGGACAACACGAGGGTACCCTCCCCGAGCCGACCTGGATCTCGTACATCGGTCCGACTGTACTTTCTCGTCCTGGGCCGTGGGCTTTCAAGGAGGGCGGGCGAAGGAAGCAGCAGACGTCCGACGGGCTGAAACAAAAAGACTGCTGACGGCCTAGGCCTCGAAACATACCCAGCCATGCTTGCGCTCTGCCTCAAACATGCTCTTTCCACCATGATCCCCTCATCGGGCGGAAAAGGGGGTGACAATCAGAAGGGCGACAAGGATAGTGAAGAAGGCAAACGACTGAGGGAAAGTAGAAAAAGGATGATGGGGAGAAGGAGGGCGGGAGATGAAGGAGCGATGGGGGGAGCAGGTGGAATGCTACTCATTATCTTCCTCTCCTCTCCTCTTCCACCACCAGCACCACCTCATCACCATCACCATCATAATCCAAGGTGGTGATATCGCGCGAACAGATCCGAACTGTCTGGGGGCCCGCGTGGGCCCGTGCTGGAATCTTCTTGGGGCCCTACTGCGGCCTCGCATCTGGTATCCATCGTGGGCCCTCTTGGGTGTGTTCTCGTGGGCCATCTTGGAGCCTTCTTGGGACAGCTCGGAGCGCTTGCGGGTCTTCCTAGTCCTAGGGCCGCCTTGCGCAGTCTTGGGGTGCTGTGGCGCCGTCTTGGGCTCCTCTGGAGGCCCTCGTGGGCCCTCCTGGGGCTGGCTCGGGGCAGTCGCGGGCCGTTTTCCATTCAGGACACTTCGGGGACCATCTTTGGGCTCGCTTTGGCTCCTACGAGGGCCTCTGGGAGCCGTTTTCAGTCCGAAAGTGCGGATTCACAAGCAGTGCCAAAACAAGCCGACAATCACACGAGAGAAACCATAACGCCAACAACGGAAACGGCCAAGCCACGAAGCGTACCAAGCAACTTATGGGTGGAGCTCCCTGTGGGGCACGAACCTTGTCAGACTGGACTGAGCAGCGCCATGCGCACGCACCCACGGGGACCGCGGATGGAGCTCCCTAAGGGGGGTGCAAGACGCGCGAGGTAAGAGGAGAAAGGAGAAGAAGAGGAAGACAGGACGTACGCGCCCAACCACGTACATGAACACGGCCCTTCAGTCCGCGAGACCATCTTCGTGATACGAACGTTCGCGAAATCCGTACTCTCGAAACCAAGGTGGTTTCACGCCCGTGCACGGCGGGGGAGGAAGTGACACGAACTTGCCTGCAGCTTCGAGGTTCCGAGGGGGAATAAGTTCGGGTGTTGCCAGAAGTACCCCTGGCCCAGATCTCCAAGGAGGTCCTCACGGCCTCCAGGGCACCCCTCGCGAGGCCCAAAGGGCCCCAGGGGCTCCAAAGAGAGAGAGAGAGAGAGAAGCCGTGCACGTCAGAGGTGCATTGGCAAAAGGAGAATGACTGCGACCGGCGATGCGCAGCCTCCAGCGTCGCTGGCTCCGTTCACATGGAAAGTTTACAAATCTCGCCATGCATACCCCACTCGAAACAATGGCCCGCAAGGTGGACGACCCTGGAGAGCCACCGCAGCAGGGAGGCAGAGGAGGGAGCGACACCTGGGGCGAAAGCGAAACAGCCGGGGGCACCTTGGGGGCCAGAGGCACCTTCATCGGGGGCGGCAAAGAGGGGGGCGTCCAAGAGGGGGGGGTGCAAATCATGGCCGGCGGCACGTGCGCGGCCCAGGGGGGGGGCCGGGGACGTATGAAAACAAGAAGAGGCGCCGTGAAATCTGTGGAAATATCATGGCTCCCGTCATGATATCCACCCCCCCTAGTCATCACCCCCCTCTTTGCCGCCCCCGACTTCAGCAACACCCGAGAAGTGAGGGCACAAGGAGAAGCACCGGGGAGGAGGTGAGTCAGGCGAGGTGGGGCGGGCGGCGCCGAAGGCGAGGGCCGCAGCGAGGGCCCCGCGGCATGGGAGGGCCGGGGAGCGGTGCGAAGCGCGGCGAATGTCGCCCCCTCCTTCGGGGATTGCCGAAGGTGCCCCCTGGCCCCCCTGGCACAGAGTGCCCCCCGGCTTTTCGCTCCATTCTGGAGCCCCTGGGGCCTTGTGGGCCTCGTGAGGGGTGCTCCAGAGGCCGTGGGGGCCTCCTTGGAGATCCTGGGGGCACCTCGGGCCAGGGGCATTTCTGGCAACACCCGAGCTTCCTCCCCGAGATCCCCCCCTTGCCGGCGCCGTCGCTGGTGTGCGCCCGACGGCTCACTCGTGGAGTCCGAACTGAGGGCCCGAGCTTGTGTAGCAGCGGACCGCCTCCACGCGGGTGGCCGTCTGAGATGCAGGAGTGGGGGCTTCTACGAAGTCGGGGCGGCTCCTTGGAAGCCCTCCTCGAGGCATCGAGAAGATTTCTTGGTGGTCTCCGTAGTGGAACAAAGCACTGCATGAACATGAGCTTCTGACGGTCCGCGCGGCCTTCTTGGATCTGCGCTAAACCCCCTCCCTGGCGCGGAGCGCACCAGCAGGCGCCGGAGGCGTCTCCCGGCGGTCCCAGCGCAGATCCAATACATCCTCCCGGAAGCCCTTCTGGATGGCCTGCGGGGGCTCCTCGCCATCGCTCGGACGTCCATTTCCCGTGCGTTTTTCGGTTTCGTGCGTGTTTTTTTTGCTCGATGGTCCAGGATCCTCTTGAATGGTTGCCGCCGAGAAAAAATTAATACGTCCGAGCGATGCCAGGGCTCTCTTCAAGTCTTGTTGTAGTTGTTTCTCCCCGCGGCGCGAGCTCGGGAAAAAAGCTGGTCATAAGCAACTCCTCGGCGCGTCAGCGCTCCACGAGAATGTCACGAAGTTCGGCCCGCAAGTGCGAGCGACATCTGACGAGGAGAAAGAGGAGGAGGAGGAGGAAAGGAGGACAAAGGAGAGAGTAGGAACGGCCAGGGCATCGGGGCGCGCCCGGGCGCTCTCTTCAAGGCAGCGGGGCGCCCCCAGAATCTGGAGGTCCCTGCCTCCAGGAGGGGCCCTCCTCCCGTAAGGCGGCCCCCTGGTGGGCCAACTCCCCCAGTGCGCGCTGCCAATCATTGCGCCCCGCTCCCCAGCCCACCCAGTGTCCGCTCTGGAAGGGCTCGACGCATTCCGTCTGGCTGCTGAGATTTAGGATCGCTACATGCGGAACAAAATCTACAACGAACCCATGACGAGGATAAATTCGGGTGAGGATACATCGACCATCTCTGAGATCTGTCGGCTCTGGAGGATGTCTCGGGCGCCGCAGCCTTCGCAGACGTTCCGAAACACTCTGAAAGTGTTCCGGAGCGCTCTGGAACGGATGGCAGTAACATCCGAAGAGGCACCGAAGGTGCTCACCACCAGAAAAGCAACGGAACGCGTGCGAACCTGAGGAACCACCGAACTCCTTCTTACCTCGAGAAGGACCTTATGCCAACGAATTGCCTGTACACCAAGTCGTCTGGTCGGCCAAGGAGCTGGGTGTATGGACGCCCCAGCTTCCGAAGCTGTGGGACGCTGGAACGTCCATACACCGCATTGCTCTGCTGAGCTACGTGGCTCCCTGACAAGCTAGACGACGTGCTGAAATGCATCGAGTCCCTCCGACGCTCCCCCCCCCCGCCCCCGCCCGCCCAGGCCCGGGCAGACTCCTGGTCACGAGGCACGCCTTCACACGACCAAATTGGCCACGGGGGAGGTGAGCGCGGGATCAGCATCTTCTGTTCCAAGATGCAGCGAGGACTCCGTCTTCCCCAGGGCGTCCAGACGGTTCAACATGTTCATCATACTCGCCATGTTATGCATTATCCATTCGCACTGGTACTGCAGCTTCATGACGTCAAGGGTCTTGGCCTCGCCCTTCAGCCGGAAGCAACCGAGCAAGAATTCCTCCACGTTGATGAAGCCCCTCCGGTCACGGTCGAGCAGCAGGAACAGCGTGCGCACATCTGTCACCTCCAGATCCAGCGCGTGGAAGCTACTCACCAGGCCGTTGTTCACGTCGAGCAGCGCCTCGTGCATACTCTCAAAGGTCAGAGTGCCGTCGCCGCCTGGATCTAATTCGTTGAAGAGCTCTTGCAGCCGTTTGATACTGGTCAGCCTCTTCTCGGTGGCGCCATGTTCCTGCGAGGCCTTATCGTTGCGCGCCCAGTGGTTGGCGATCTCCACGAAAAACCGTCAGCCCCATCAGAAGCGCCAGGCTATGAGGGTCGCTGCTGGACTGCTGCCTTGCTGATGCCTCTTGCCGAAGTTACTCTGACCCGCATCCTAAAGACGGGATTATTATGAGTATTAGTATTGTTGTTGTTATTATTATTATTATTAGTATTATTAATATTATTCGTATTATTAGTATTATTATTATGTTTATTACTACTACTACTACTACTACTACTACTACTACTACTACTACTACTACTACTACTACTACTACTAATATTATTATTATTATGTAGATGCCTCCGCCTCCTTCCTCCTGCCTCCTTCCATCCGCCACTGTGCCTGCACAGAGTGGGCGTGTTAGAATGCGTCTCTGTTGTCTGGAAGGTTTCTTTAGCATTTGTAAGGCTGACCCCCCCCATAGCACGCCAGAAAACCGCTGCCCTAGAATGCCACCAGCCTTCTGGGCGTAGGTGGAGTTGGGGGGCTCCTCGTCCGACCACCTTCTTTCCCCTCATGGACGGTTTATAACTGCCCCCCTTATACGCCCCCTCCCCAAGGCGACCGGCAGCCAACCAAAGACAATGAGAACCCCATGGACACCCTCCCCACCATCCCCGTCGAACAAAAATACAACATGCACTCTGCTGGCCAACCCGATGCGACCCCCCCCCCCGCCATCCCTTTGAACAAAAAAATACAAAGTGCACTTTGGGGCGAGGTCTTGAGTCATGTTCGTGAGGCCTGCGAACACTTTGTATGAGTTTTGACAGGGACGGCGGGGGCGACAGCAACTTCCCTGCTGTGCGCAGGGCGACCATCCCTGACAACAAAAAATGCACCTCGTGGATGCATCTGGATCATGCGTGGCAGGCCCATGGACGGCGGCTGCTTGTTCGCGATGAAAGACGCATGTTCTTGGAAACGAGGGTCGTGTATCCCGATAGAGTTGCACCAGTTTTCCCGTTTTTATTTCTTGGCCTCGCACCAGGCCCCCTTCCCGAATCATTACCAGCGTGAGGTGTATGAGTTGCCCTCCAAGAGCCCGACACGGTGCCCTAAGCACTTTTGGGACGCAGCAAGGCCCAGGGCGGGGGGGAGGAGGAGGAGGGGGAAAGAGGAGGAGGAGGAGGAGGAGGAGTAGGAAGAGGAGAGGAGGGAAGGGGGGGCGAGGAGGAGGAGGAGGAAGAAGAGGGAGGAGGAGGAGGAGCATGAGCATGAGCATGACCAAAAGACGATGTCTTGAAGAGAAGCCCTCTCCCCCGCTCAGAAGACGGACGAGACGAGGAAGCCCCACAGCGCGAACTATACGAAATACATGAACTGACAAACTGGGAATCTCACCAATCTTGTGTGTTGCGGTGTCAACCGAAACTGTGACACACCCAGTGCACACTCAGGCCCGAGATATACAGCTTGGCAGCGCTGACAGGATTATGACTTCACCATTATTGCAGGTCCCTCGATACACAACACAAACTGCCAGACCAAATAATACCCACTGAATGCTGTGAGACGCCGCGCCCGACGACTGCCGAACAAGCAAGAAGACGGTGAGCGTGACAGCACTTTGTACGCTCCACTGATGACCAATAAGCACCAGAACTGACAGCCCACCACAAAATTGAAAAAATGGGCACCAACCACCAGAGATACAACATACCCTTCCCAAGCGGAGATGGGAGATGCCAACATGGTAGCTGATGACGCCCGGGCACCGACACTTTCGCCTCGCCCTTAGCCGACCCACGTCCCGTTGGAAATTCCAGAGCTGCGGGTAGCCCCAAGCACGCCGCGAGGAGGCGACGAGGCAGGACCCATGGCGCGTTTGAGCCAAAAGGGATCAACGCGCCTTGGGCCCCATGTGCTTGGGAGGAGGAGGAGGAGGAGGAGGAGGAGGAGGAGGAGGAGGAGGAGGAGGAGGAGGAGGAGGAGAACGAGCATGAGGACGAAGGGGCCCTCCTAGGCCGTCTTGGCGCCCTCTGGGGGGCCCCTGAGGTCGCCAAGGATGGTGCGAAGACGAAAAACACAAATACAGTACAAATGCACGTTTAGTAAGGGGATGGGGATATTGGTGCCTCTCGGAGCCCTCGTGGGGGGGGGGGGGGGGGGCAAATTGCACGGGTTAAGAGGCTTCTGCGAAGCCTCTGGGGCCGTTGGAGACGTCCCGTGATCTGTCGAAGCCTTCTTCAGGGTTGTGGGCGGCCGGCAGGGGCCGCCGTGACGCTCATCGGACCGCCCTCCGAGGCGTTGGCCCCCAGGCTACACATTTGTGGTAGAGGTCGCGGCCCCGGGACCCCCAGGCCCGGTCCTCCGTTATATGTATACTTCTCCCTGTCGCACCCCGAGACGGGTCGGTAGGGCGGGCCGGGCGTTTCACCTGAGATTGCCTAACCATGTATGATCCTTTTGCTTGAAGTTCTGCAACCGTTTCACGGATGGCGGGCGGGTCGTTTTCAAAATGTGGCCCTCCCTTTAGTGCCGCGCACATGCGTCTGTCAAGCTTTCAGGAGCTTCGAGGATAGAGGGCGGGTCGTGTTCGAAATGATGTACTCGCCTTTAGCGCCGCGCACAGTTGTCGTAAAGGTTCGCAAGGGCTTCACGAATGGAGGGCGTTTTTTTGTCAAAATGTGGTTCCCGCCCTAGCGCCGCGAACATTCGTCTTAAACTGTTGCAAGGGATTCGCGGATGGAGGGCGCTGTTTTCCAAAATGTCGTTCCCGCCTGATCGCCGCGCCTATTCGTCTTGAGAGTTTGCAAGGGCTTCACGGAAGGCTGTTGCCTTAGCGCCGTGCACATTCGTTTTAACAACTTACGCCATATGCAAATATAATTATGGCAGACGTCCCATACATTGTGTTTGGGCACGATTCAGAATTGCCAAGGCGCGACCGTCACGTTAATTCGCTGTGTTGGCATCCCAGAAATGGTGTTCTGGCGCGGTGTCGGATCGCCAAGTCACAAAGTAGCATTGATTCATGTCCCAACACGGCTGAAAATGTTCAAACGACTGTCTTCCAACGGGACACTTCCCGCAGTGAAAAGATATCTTTACTTGAGCCTATGGTGAGTCTTGGATTTACACGGGTTTTCCTCCTCATCCTCCTCGTCCTCCTCCTCCAAGCGCAGCCCGTTCATGTACGAAGAATCTGGGATAAGCGCCTTCAATACGAAGTGTAGGATGCGTCGTGATCGTACACGGAGTACTCCTTCAAAGCCTGAATTGGCCCCACCCCTGCCCCTGTGTGTCCAAACGTGTTGCCGCGAAGCGGTATGGCTTCCCGTCACCACGTTGGCTGCACGCGCGCACGTTGATGTAGAACACTCTGTCTGTGAGGTAGATCCACTCATGGAAATTACTGCACACGAAGACCATCATCGCGCCGAAAGGCGCCAGGACCATGCAGCAGCTCAGTCACACCCAACTTGATAACTTGCATTCCCACGGAACGCACCGCCGCCAAAGAACGGGCCCGCTCGACGTTGCACCCAGAAAGGCAAACGTCACCCAGCCACTCACAGACAGGGCCTTCCACATCAACGTGCGCACGTTGGCTGCACCGAATATCGCGAAAAGGACGTAGAACAAGAACACGCACTTGAAAGGCAGAGCAAGAGGCGACAGCACCGCGAAGAGCTCCCCCCAGTTGATGCCGCCGGACATCGCCTGAAACAGCGAGAGCGCAGTGCCCTCGAGGGTGCCGAAGCAGGATCGCAGCTCCGCGCTTGACTCGTCGTCCCACGAGTCGTGCTCCTTGAGGCTGTCGATCACCTCGCCATCGCTCGGACGTCCATTTCCCGTGCATTTTTCGGTTTCGTGCGTGTTTTTTGTTGCTCGATGGTCCAGGATCGTCCTCAATGGTTCTCGCCGAGGAAAAATGCACGCGTCCGAGCGATGCCAGGTCACCCCCTGAGTCAGGATTATCCCGAACATGTAGAACATGCCAACGAGAACGATAGTTGCCCAGAGCAGGGGCCGCAGCGAGAACATGATGGACTGGATCATGATCCGCAGCTGCATGAAGAACCTGAGCTGCCTCACCGAGCGCATGAATCTGACAACCCGCAGGACGCGGAGGACGCGGAGTACCTGGCCCTGGGACCACAGCGACGACTCAGCCGTCGGCTGGGACACGCTCACGAAGAAGTCCAGGATCATCAGCACGACCACGAAAATGTCGAACAAGTTCCAGGACACCTCGCTGCCCGACCAAAAGGTCCAGCTCAGGGCGTAGACCTTCACGACCAGCTCCAGGGTGAACACCACGCAGAAGAACGCCTCGATCTCCAGGCTCCTCTGCATCTCTTTTCGGGTGTGTGCTTCGTGCTCCACCTGATAGCCAATAAAGATTGAGTTGGCCATGATTAGCATCATCACGCACACCTCGTACCTGGGTGGGGGGAAATGCGACCCGGGGTCGAGATCTAGACCCATGGCCAATTGCACGGCACGGGCCTCCACCTTCCGCCGGTTCCTCATCCTTCTCCACCGCCCCACTCTCAACACTCTCCTGATTATGCACCTTCCCCACGTTGGACAAACGTTGACTGGCGAGCCGTCGCGTCTTGATGGCCACGATCCGAGAAATAGAAGGGGGACAAAACATGGCACAGGAAGAGAAACCCGCAAGGATACAGAGCAATGCACAACGACGAAGATGCCCCAAACTGCCTTTGCACAATCTCAGTGCCCAGGCCCTCCTCCGGGGCCTCCCAACGAGCAGGGATCATGCACCTCCTCATCTCTTCTCCCCATCACTTGTCCTGCTTCCCCTGACAGATACGCCCCTCACATGTCCTTGTACATCACCCCCATTCCTTGGGCATGCTCCCAGGAGTAAACTTTCGGAGCCTCGCGCAGACTTCTCGGGATCGGCGCTGGAGGCGCCGCCAAGGGGGCCCAGGCACCGACCCGAGAAATCTGGGCGGACATCCGAAAGGGTGATGTCTGTTCAGATTTTGTTATGCGAACTTATCCTTGTAGGTGACCCCATGACGTGCCCTTGTTCCTCATCCTTCTCCTCCTCCCCCGCCTAATGGGTACAGTCAAAACTGATAAAAAGATATGCGCGATGAGGGTGCAACAAGCCCCTTGGACGCCCGTGCTGAAGCGCTTTCGAGCGCGGCGCGCGGATGGACCCAAGAGGCAAGGATGCAGGGGGTACGCTTGGGAAGGTTAACCGGAGGAGGAGAAGGAGGAGGAAGAGGAGGAGGAGGAGGATGGAGAGGAGGAGGAGGAGGAGGAGGAGGAGGAGGAGGAGGAGGAGGAGGAGTCCTTATCACCGGTCCCGACTGTAGCCGATCCCCGTCGCACCCCGAGCCGCGTGCCTGCAGGGCGGGCGATGGGCATTCCTCACCACTCGTGCTCCTGAGCATTGGATTATGCGGCTGCTTCGCGGACGGAGGGCGGTTCTTTCTTGACATGGGGCTCTCACCCTGGTGCCACGTGCACTTCTCGTCTTACAGGTTGGCTGCAATTCCTTCGAAGTCGAGATCTCGCACTCGCGCCGCGTGCATTCATCTGAATCATTTCCAACCGTTGCGAAGACGGAAGTAGGCCGTCTTCAACATGGGGCTGTCGCCCTGGCGCTGCGAATATCGTTTTAAGTTTGTGGTAGCTACAAGGATGGAGAATCGTGAGAGACTTAGAGCAGCCTGCATACCACAAGTTTGAACATGTGCAACCGCTGCCTGATGGAGGGCGGCTCATTTCTACAACGGTGCGCTCGCTTGAGTCTTTCTCGAGGTCCATGAACAAAATGTGACATTGTGCAACATGAACACAAGTGGGGTCGCCCTTCTTTTCAGGACGGAAATGTCGCTGGACACCTCGTCAATAGTGAGATCGTAACTTTTCAAATTCCGCAGTGGCCCCTAAACAGATGCAGCACATGTTTTGTTCAAAACGGGGGTCTCGCCTGATTGGCCGGCCCAGAGGTGTTGGTCCTTCAAGGGGGCGCTAAGTGCAGCACAGGGAAGGCGTGCTGGGACTCACCAGGAGGGAACGTTGGACAGGTTGTAGGAGGCATTGTAACATCATTTGCAAATCTTTGGTTTACTGTGATTTCTGGGGCTCCTTCTCCTCCTGTCCTGGCCTGTTCTCACCCTCATGCTTCTCGCACTCTTCCTCCTCATCCGATTTCTTCATCCTACCCTGCCCACTTCGTCCTCCTCATTCTCTCTTCTCCTCTGTTGTCAGTCCCCCTCCCAAACTACCTCGCACTGGTCACCAACTGCTTCACCCGGAATCGCGTCAAGGACGGGCCAACGTCAAATCGGGAGAGCCACTTCCGGACTGGCCAAGGCATTCGCGACCCCATAAAGCTGGTTCCACGTTCAGCAGAGCAGACATCATGACGTGGCGTCGCTTGGCGCCAAAACGGCTTCAGGTCGTAGGAGCGAACAGTGTCGTGCTCGATCATGTCCATGGCGCTGGTCGCCCCTGGCTGAGACTCCACTGGTGCCAACGACAGGTTGTCACCGACGAACATGGATCTTGCAGCAGACCACATGGATCGCACGGATGGGCGCCGCGAGCGAGGCTGCACTGACCTCTGGGGAGCGACCATGGGCAACGCCCCCAACGCTACCGACCGCGCCTGGTCCTCGCCGCTGTTGTGCTCCGTACACCTCCAGATGTGCGGCTGACAGCGCCCCGGCTCGACGGGGCTCTCCGCGATGGCGCTGGAGTCCAGGTCGGAGGCCGGCCCGCTCTGGGAGCGACCCGAGTGCAGCCTCCTCGATGCCCTCTCCTGCGGCTGACCCGCCGCCTGCGGCGGCTGCTCCGCGGAGCCCTCGGCCAGGAGGGCCTGCAGCTTCTGGTGGACCTCGAGGGAGCGCTCGGCCACGAGGGCGGCCATTGTGGGCGCGTCGGTGCCGCACGAGGATGCGCTGCCGCGCGAAGATGCGCTGCGGAAATTGACCGCGTGGCGCGCACGCCGCGGCCTCGCCTGCGGCTGCCCCGCCGGCTCTGGCTGCCTTGCGGGAGTGCCCAGAATCAGTCCAGTTCGATAAGTCGGGTCGGCGATCGAACTGAATCACATCGGCGGAGATCGGCAACCAAGTCGGAAGAATCCGGATCGGCGGGAATCGGCAGGCTGGTACGGCCTCGATTGAGAGACCGAACGCCGCATCAGAATCCGAAGTCGAGGCGAATCGACAACGGAATCGACATCGAATCGAATCGAGTCGGAGGGGTCGAAATGAGCACTGCCTCGCGAAGCCCGTGCTCCTAGTGGCGCCGTCCGCGCTGCCGCAGGTTCCTGCCGGCGGCGACGGGCTGCGCTGCCGGTGCTGTTCCGCGCATGCGCTCCCGTAAGCCTTGCCCCAGGCCGGCGCGGGCTCCTCTGGGGGAAGCCGAGCAAAACCTGCGGACGGCCCGCCACGCCGGGCTGCCCAGGGTGGCGGGATCGGTGCCTTTTCCTCTCCTGGCTCCTCGCCCCCGCCTTGGCCGCCCGCGCCCCCGTGCTGCAAGTGGGCGCCGCCTGCTGCGGCAACTCATGGGAGCCTCCCGTACCATCCTGTTGGCTCTTGCGATAGAACGCTAATCGGCGCTCGTCGACGATGCTAAGTCGACGCTACATCGACGCCAAACCGACGCTCTCTCACATCGATTACCAGGCGCTAGCGCACGCTGTCTGCACCCCAGAAACAGAATCACGAGAGCACACACAAGGCTTGATGGGGCCACGATAGGGGGGGACTGGCATGGGGGGAACATCGACCTGGAATCGGCGATACATCGCCGACAGATCGGCGATAGGCCCCTGATATCGAATCCGAGGCGTCCCTGGGCAGGGTGGGGCTATCGGGCTTCTATCGGCGTTGAATGGGCGATTGGGTGCCCATGCCTATCCCCCCTGTGCCTATACCCCGATCGTTGCCCCCGAAGGCCCCCACGCGTTGCGAACCAACGCCGCCCGCGCGGAGCTCCAGGAGCGCCTCCTGCGCACGGCGCCTCCCGAGCTCCAGCTGCTCGCACGCGTCCACGAGCAGCGCCTCGAGCCGACCCGCGCCCGCCTCCATCCCCCTCGGACGGAACGCGCGCGGGCGGCGGGAGCGCTCCGGCCGGGGCAGCTGCAGCAGGCGGGGGAGGCCG